TATAACCAAGAAAGCACAGTGACCAGTTGCACTTATGATGTTGGACGAGATCCTGAAAAAACTTCCGGTACACTCATCACTACCTGCAAAAAAAACGAAAATTCTAAATGACTTATATCAACACTTTAATATTTCATCTGGCTTATATTTTCAGTACTCATTAGCCTTTAGCTACTTTCAAACAAATTTTCATAAGTACTAACTTGCAGTGTAAAATGTTTGAAACAGTTTGTTTGTCCCAAAGGAAATTCTGCCAATTAGCAGTGGCATGAGCAGTTGATTGATGTCACAGTTCCACCGGCAAAGTATTTGTTGCTAACCTGGAAAACATCCTAGAAGTGAGCATCTACAAGAAAAAACTTACCTGAATATTAAAAATGTTATAAAATGCTTGTGTACATTCTTTATATATATATATACAACTAATTAAACATGTAACTACCAAATATACAAATTAAACTTCCTTAAATTTGTTCTTAAGTTTATTTATAGTGTATTATAATAAACATGCAATATTTGTCTTGTTATACTGAAGGGTAATTAAGAAAATGTCATTCATTGAAACAAATGTGCAAACATTTTGCGCAGTTAGCAACTTTTATGGAGAACCTATCAATGTGCATTTTCAAACTTTGGGATGTAATGTTAGGTACACAGTAGTAAAATTGTACTTGTTAACAAATGTTTTTTACCAATCAGATTTCAAATGATAATTTAATAAGAAAGCAAATGACAAATTTAACTAGCATTAAGGTCCATTGATTTACCATGGTGTGAGAGCTTTTATGAACTTTATACTAAACTAGTAAGTTTGAATTATTGAAGTAAAGAAAAAAGCAGCCCAAAAATTTATCATGTTCCTAATTTAAAATGAGTGCCATCATTAACTACTTGGAAATTGCCACACTCTTCATGAGTATAAGAAGTATTGGATATGCCTCATTAACAGATCCATACTGGTAAATGGATGACACATTCAGTCAAGCATTGTCCCCTTTTCAGTACCTCTTGGATCCCTGTAAAATATGTTAATGACAAATGTAGATAAAATGTTCTATCATTGAACGATGAATGTCCTTTATCCTGCCTCTGATAAAAATTGTGAAATTTCATTGGTCGAGAGCAATACTGCATGAAACAATGTTATGCTGCTACCCACCCCACATTGCTAATGTGCCCCCTCCACGTTACCTACCCACCATATATTAACAATTAACCAACCACACATCATTAATATACTGCTTTCACGTGACCCGCATGGAGCTTGATAACCGACATCACAATGCGTCTGACGACAACAAAGGATGCAGAACGTCTTGCTTAGATGCTCAGTGCATGAAAGCGGTTTATCGATACTATAAATATTTAGTCTTTTAGTGAACCATCGGCAGGATAAATTCGTTATGTAGACACTTAGAGGGGTAATACGGAAATATGTGGAGTCCTTGAAAAAATACATACTGTGCTCGACTTACGCCTCGCCCAATATGGATTTTTTCAAGGACCCCACATATTTTCGTATTACCCCTCTAAGTGTCTACATAACTAATAATAGACCCAGTGTGAATCTGTTGGGTGACACCGTTAGATTGTTCTAGCTATGACAAATAAGAAAATTCCTATTTCTAATGTCTATTTTAAGAAAAAAAAGTGTAAGAGCAGGGACCTATATACTATAGTATATAGGTCCCTGGTAAGGGTATTTGGGAAGGGGGTCATTAGGCTTTACAATTAATATATATTGATTGTACATTTATGTTGTAGTACGTCCTACAGTTAATATTGAAATTGAATATATACATCTCCGTGTACATGAAAGAAGTAATGTTGAACGTTTTTATTTCTGGATTATTTTAAAATAAATTAAAAAAGAACATTAATTCTATCAGGATTATGCTTAATCGACGTAGTAATCAACCATGTATACCTTTGCTCGATGAATTTTGGTACATGTATTTCATAGGCCTATTTGTTTTTTTATTGACTTTGCATTCTATATCCCGACCTCAGCTGTCCCGTGAGCTAAATCAATGGAATAAATATATGAAACCAAGCATTGGGGAACGTTTTAGTTTGAAAACACACTATTTCAGCTTAAAACTATTTTATTTTACCTTTTATGCTTTAAAATGCTCGCTAATCGTGACCCATTCGGAATAGCTTGCATGTACGTCAGTTAATAAAACAGTAAAGCAATTAATAAACGTTGTTTACCTGTATCAATTAATCCATTTTCTCCTCTTCTTTTCAATAATAAAAAAACGAACGACTTAACAGACATTACTTCCTGTTTCGCTTTCGTTTTCAATAGGAGAATTAATTATTCTATTTTAAGAGTGATTGGAAAAGAGATATCTCTTTCATTAAAAGAGATATCTCTTTATCTTAGAGAGATATCTCTATTTGAAAATCTAAAGAGATATCTCTCTAACTAAGAAAGATATCTCTTTTAAACTTGTTAAAGAGATATCTCTCTAACTTTTAGAGATATCTCTCTCGCTTAAAGAGATATCTCTCTAGCTTATAAAGATATCTCTCTTACAAAAAGAGATATCTCTCTTTCAAAAAGAGATATCTCTCTTACAAAAAGAGATATCTCTTTTGTTGAAAGAGATATCTCTCTAAAGTATAAAGATATCTATATTAATCAAAGAGATATCTCTATAAGCGAAAGAGATATCTCTCTATGCAAGAGAGATATCTCTCATTTTGAAAGAAAAAAATATTTTTCGAATAAATAGTAAAAGGGCTTGCCATAATTTTGTGAAACATTTTGTCATGTTGATATTAAAAGTCTAATTACGAGACAAAATATCTAAAACCTTGATAGATTACATGTTTGTTAAAACCAGAGTTAGGAATATTGCTGCCTCCCCAAACCTGTTTCACAGCAGGTTATATACTTGACCAGCAAATGTCGGTCATTAACAGGCCCGTGATTCTTATCTAATTGTCTGCACTGCTCCTTAGCTATTTCCAGCTGTGTTTGGCCATTAGATGCTGACCATGTGAAAAGAGAATTATTTAACTTCAGTGAGTAAATAAGTCTCCTAAAATAGGTCAACTTTTTCTGAAGGAAAATGAAATGTAAATAAAGAATGCATGTTTATAAATCAACAAGGTGAGAAATCAAATTCATAAAATTTGTATACAACACTGCAGATAGATAATGTAAACAGTCAATACAATTGTCATTTTGATGAATAATAAGTAAATCTTGAAAAGTTGAGAGAATTATAATCGAATAATAAATCTATTTATCTTTAAAACTGAAGTTGTTGGGTTTCAACAAAGGTTAAATCAAACCAAATGAAATATTGTGCATATCAATTAATTTTATAGAGTGACAAAACCAAAAAAAGAAGAAATACAATATTGAATGGCAATTTTAAATAATTTTAAATAAAAATTCAGCAGTTGAATTTCAAAAGTGCTTAAAATCAAGAGAAATTTAAATACTTATTGTGCATATCAATGATCATGAAAAACAAGGAATTAGATTACAAGAGTGGCTAAATTAAGAGACTTGAATTATCAAATGTGATGTCATTGATGAAAGACAAGGAGTTGAATTTCAAGAGCAGCTAAATCAAGAGAATTGGATTATACAATAGATGAATTTCAAGAGTAGCTTAATCAAAAGAGATGAAATATAATGCTGTGCATAAAATGAATCTCAAGATTATGGATATCAAGAGTATGAAAATTTTATAAGGCAGTAAAACTACTAAATTTGTATGAAACTGAAAATAATACAGGAATTAAAAATTGATTGTGTACATGTAAATGTGAAAGTTAAATTTATGTTGTATTGCTGAGTTACTAGTATCTCGAGAGCTGTGGCTTAAGTAAAATGAGGAAAAATTAACTAAAACCAAAATAAAAACAAACAAGCTCCCAAAAATCAAAGCAATAAAATGGAAAATTCAGATAAATACAACCTAAGAAATAAAAGAAAAAGACTAAATGATAGTGAGAATATTGGTGCAAAGGTTGCAAATAAAAGAAATTCTAGTATATCCACTAGTTTGGAAATTGACATGAATAGCCCCAATACAATATTAGATATTCATTGCATTACAACAAATGTGCATCAAGGGTCAGGTGTTTTTTCAGAAGAAAGTAGAGGCAGGCAATGTGTTGCTAATGCACTATTTAGTATAGCTTACAAGGAATTGCCAGGAAAACATGTTGAAAAATGGATTTCAAACGACTTAGATTTTTTGCTTCTAAAGGGGGATGAGCTTTACAGACATGCACGTGGCAAGTGTTCATTTCCATATTTACATCCAAGTGATTTGCCAAAGGGTTTATGCATTTCTGATAAACTTCTAAAATTAACCACTCAGAATACATTCTCCGGGGATATGAGTTGTTCATTCAAAGATGATATCCCATTCCATTCACTTCCAATAGCTTTAAACTGCTGTCTTGCTGATGGTTCATGTTCAGGAATTTTAGTCTGTAATGGAAGTGCTGTTGCAATATTTTATTCAAACTCTAATTTTCATGTTTTTGACCCTCATTCACGTGACCAGTTTGGAAACCCATGCCCAGATGGATCAGCAGTACTACTTACAGTCCAAAGTTTTCTACAATTCCAGATTCTTTTGCGTAGAATATTTCATGTTGATGGAAGTTGTACTTTTGACTTGCACCAAATTAAAAGCACTTTAATGGGTAAAAGCTCATTTCTGCGTATAAAAGAGAGATTATGTTTATCGAATAATGATAGCTGCAGTGCATGCTCAAATGTATCAAAGTTCGAGGCTGATCATATTGGGCATTGTAGAGTAATTGAAAGCTTTCATAACTCTGTTGCTACAGGACCATCATTTGTATGTAAAAGTTGCTCCCAAATATGGTTTAAACACTCTGTTATAAAGGCTACAGGGATTTCTGAGGAGTTTCTTAAGCATTGTTCATTGAATTCCAATGATACTTTATGCCACACATGTTACAGACATTTGAAGGAGAATAAGATTCCACCATGTTCATCTATGAATGGATTAAAATTTCCTGTCAGACCTCAAGAACTTGATTTAACTAATTTGGAGGAACGTCTAATTGCTCCAAGAATTCCATTTATGCAACTGCATGAGAAGCCAAGAGGTGGACAGCTAAGTATAACTGGCAATGTTGTAAATGTTCCAGCTGATGTAACAACAACAGTTAAGAAGCTTCCAAGACTTCTTAGTGAGAATGAAACAATACCTTTGAAATTTAAACGGAGTCTAAGTTTTAAACATTCAGTTGCATTTGAAAGAATTCGTCCAAACAAAGTCATAGCAGCAACAAAATGGTTAATGCAAAACAGTGCATTGTTTCAAAGTGAAGGAATAGAAATAAATCAGGAATGGGAATTCCAAAATGAAGACTCTGAAAGTGATGACAATTCTGAGGATATCTCAATATCAACATCAGATGATTGTGTTATTGATACATGGACCGAAGATACAAATATTGAAGACAGACCATCTGGAAATACAGATACTATGCTACAAATTGTAGATTTTCGAGAGTTTAACCAAATTTTAAGTGTAGCACCAGGAGAAAACAATACACCACTTAGTATATTTCAAGATAAATATTCCGAATTTCTTGCATTCCCTGCGATTTATTGTGGACAGTCAAGACCTGACAATACTTCAAGACCTGTTCCTTTACATTATAGTACCATCTGTAAATGGGAATTGAGAAATGTAGATAGGCGATGTGCAACATGCATACCCAACTTGTTTTACAAATTGAAAAAGTTGCAAATCAAGCAAATTCAAGACAAGGTCATGCTGGCAATTCGAAAATGCAAAATGAATGGTAAAAAGTATACAGCAGCACAGATTCTTGACTCACAAACAGCTCAGGCTATTGTCAAATTGAATGAAGGATATCAGGTTTTGCGATCATTACGTGGATCTCCTCCATACTGGGAAAAAGCAAAAAAAGACATATTTGCTATGATAAATCAATTAGGATTACCTACATGGTTTTGCTCATTTTCGGCTGCGGAAACTAAGTGGATACCATTATTAAAAACTTTAGGTGAATTGATAGAAAATGTATCATATACAGATGATGAGATTTTAAGCATGAGTTGGGAGCAAAAAAGCAAATTAATTAAAGCTGACCCAGTAACCTGTGCAAGATATTTTGACTTCAGATTCAGCAAATTTTTCTCAGATGTCATGTGTAATGAATTACATCCAATTGGCCAAATTGAAGACCACTTTTACAGGGTGGAGTTTCAGCAAAGAGGATCTCCTCATGTTCACATGCTTCTATGGATAAAAGATGCTCCAAACATGAAAACACATGAAAAAAGAAGAATAGAAGAATTTATTGATAAATATGTTACATGTGACAACAATGGAGCAGACAAAGTACTTGTGAACTATCAGACCCATAGGCATGCAAAAACATGTATGAAGAAAAACAAACCCATATGTAGGTTTAATTTCCCTATTCCCCCAATGCCATATACTATTATCCTTTCACCTTTAGATGAGGAAGATGAAAACTTTGCTTCTGCCGCTACCACCTTCAGTGATATTTGTGCATACTTGAACTCCGATACATTTAAAACAAAGGATTTGACATTTGAAGAATATTTGTTGGAACTAAATCTAGACATTGGAAATTATTTATATGCTATCCGATCATCTCTAAAGCAAGACAGAATATTTTTGAAACGGAATCCGAAAGATATCAGAGTGAATGCATACAATCCTCTATTACTTGAAAGCTGGCAAGCCAACTTGGACATTCAGTTTATATTGGATCCATATGCCTGTGCAACATACATTGTTTCGTATATTTCAAAAGGACAAAGAGGGATGTCAAATTTGCTTCGACATGCATGTGAAGAGGCTCGTAGGAATGATTCTGATATTCGTCAACAGGTTCGCAGAATAGGAAACAAATTTTTAACACATGTTGAAATAGGGGCTCAGGAAGCAGCTTACATAGTTCTTCAAATACCTTTGCGACACTCATCAAGGCTTGTAACCTTCATTAACACTTCTCCACCTGAAGAACGTGTAGTGTTGTTAAAGCCAAAGCATGTTTTAGAGGAATTAAAGGATGATTGCACTGATATTGAATCAGGCAATGTGTTGACTTTGTACCAGCAAAGACCAAAAATCATAGAGGGATTGTGTTTGGCAGACTTTGTTTCACAGTTCTATGTAAAGTATAAAGCTACAAAGAGCAGAAAAACATTAAATGAGGAATATTTGCCTGAAGATGAATATGAAGAAGATATGTCTGAGGACCATAATTCTGCTCCATTAGAAACTGCAGAATTATCCAAAAGTTATGTGTTCAAAAATGGGGTAGAGATTGTCAAAAGGAAGAAACCTTGTGTCCTTAGGTGGGTCCATTTTGATAAAGAAACAGATTCAGAAAAATATTACCGTGAACTTCTTTTGTTGTTCATTCCATGGCGTAATGAGGAAAAGGATCTGATCAAAACTTTTTCATCCTTCGAGGAAAGTGTCAAATCTTGTATATCTCAAGTGGAAAAGAAATTAGGGGAGTACCAAAAGAGGGAGATAAACATAAATGATGTAGAGAAATTGTTACACTACATGGATGAAGATACATGCAATTCAGAGTATGTTGCTCCTGGTTGTGAGCATCAAGATGAAATTGACAAAGACGAAGGAATGACATTATCAGAAAAATATGGATGTTTTAACCCTGGAAAACATGCACCAGAGTATGATATTGGACTTGACATTGGGGTAGTTCGAAAACAACTAGAAGAAGACATATCTCAACTTGGAGAAATGGATGAACATTCATACAGAAAAATGGTTAGAAGTTTAAATGAGCAACAGAGAGAATTCTTCAACCATGTTTTGCATTGGCTGAAAACAAAGACTGATCCATTATATGCGTTTTTAACAGGGGGAGCTGGCGTTGGAAAAAGCGTTGTTACTAGGGCTTTGTATCAAGGGTTACTGAAGTATTATTTACACCAGTTAAATGAGTCCCCAGATAACTTTCATGTTTTGTTGTGTGCACCAACTGGGAAAGCAGCTCACAATATAAGTGGTGCAACTATTCATTCATCATTTTGTATTCCTGTAGGACAAGGTTTTTCATATAAACCACTTGATATGCAGCAGTTGAATACATTAAGAACAAAATATATACATTTAAAAGTTCTGATCATTGATGAAGTATCCTTGGTAGGTCAGAACATGTTTAATTTTGTGAATTTGAGATTGCAAGAAATAAGAGGCTGCCAGAAACCCTTTGGAGGTGTGAGTGTCATAACAGTAGGAGATTTGTACCAACTGAAACCAGTCATGGATAAATGGATATTTTCTCAGTCTGAGCGAGATTATGGTCCATTAAGTGCAAATCTTTGGAAAGACAATTTTCAAATGTATGAACTTACAAAAATAATGCGACAAAAGGATGACAAGGATTTTGCAGAGTTGTTAAACAGACTCAGAGAGGGAAAGCAAACTGCAATTGATATTAATATTTTGAAGATGTATGTGAAAGAAGATGCTATTGGGATTTCTGAATTACCACATCTGTATACAACAAGAAAGGAGGTAGAAATGTATAACACTAGGGTGTACCAAAATGCACAAGGGAATCTGAAAGTTGCTATTCCGGCCATTGACTGGGTTATTGGAACGTCAGATTCAAATATACAGTCTAGAGTTCTGAATCGAATCCCAGAAGATAATTCTAAAACCATGGGGTTATCCTCCATACTTAAACTAGTTTTGAACATTCCAGCTGAAATAACAAATAATGTTGATGTTCAGGATGGTATTACAAATGGTGCTGCTTGCAAAGTGAAGTACTTTGATTTTAGAGTAGATGGATCCAACAGATGCAGCATTATTTGGGTTGAATTTACTGAAAAGGAAACTGGAAAAGCTGCACGAGCAAAATTAGCAAGGTTGTATGAATCTGGTATAAGTAAAACATGGACACCAGTTTTGGAAATAACCAGGATATTCAAAATCCACATGAATGGAACATACCAGGTTAAAAGAAAACAGTTTCCTTTACAATTGAGTGCTGCAAAAACTATTCATAAATCCCAAGGTTCAACACTCTCAGATGCAGTTGTTCACTTCGGTTCAAGGAGAAATGACCATATGCATTATGTTGGACTAAGTAGGGTTGTGTGTCTGAAGAATTTGCACATTTTACACTTGAATGAGAATAAAATCTCTGTGTCAATTTCAGTGCAAGAGGAAATGGATAGACTAAGACAAGAAAGTATGCTTCAACCATGTATCAGAAATTTAAATGACTATTTGTCACTAGGGTCCATTTTTTCCTTCTTCAATGCAAGATCTCTTCATCGTCACATTCTTGACCTGAAAGAAGATGTTACCATTCTTCCATCTGATATGATTTTCGTTTCCGAAACTCGTTTCATGGCCTCTGATAATGGTGGTTCATTTGAAATCCAGGGTTTTACATTGCATCGAAATGATTTCTTTAGCAGAGATGGAAACAGACCCTCTTACGGTTTGGCACTTTATGTTAAACATGCCATTTCATCTAAAGTAACAAATATCACAGAAGGTACTTTTGGAAAGATACAGGTTTTGTCAGTAGATATGGATGTTGGAGAACAAGTGTCATTAATTTTTCTGTACATTCCTCCACACGAGAAAAGCAATGAGGTGAAAAAACTTTAAAAGAAATCTTGAAGCATCATTCAAACAATTCTAATTCTGTGGTTTTGGCAGGAGATTTTAATTTTGACAATTTAAAATCAAATGAATTTGCCAAACATATGTTGAATGAGTTCAATCTTCGATATTTGCAAACAGACAGCACCACAGACTATGGTTCTGCTTTAGACCATATTTACACAAACTTACATTCTAATCATATAAATTTTTGGGGCACTCAAGAATCATATTACTCTGACCATAAATCACTATATGTCTCAATTAAATAGGCAGTTTTATTTAAAAATGATAGAATAATTAGCCAAACATTTTTACAAAATTATTGCCGTATTCTCCATGTATTTTTTTCTTATTTTAACTGCATTTTTTAAAAGAATAAAAGCTAAATTTACAATCAGTCGGTAAGTAGAAATTAAACAAATTATTTTTAGTAAAAGTTTCTTATGCTTCAAAACATTTTAATCTAAAGTTGATATTTGTAAATTGATCATTGATTTTTATTCTTGCAGAGATGCTGACGCTAGCAAAGCTAAGAGTTTCAAGAGGGAATAAGCCTTATTCCCTGCCACTCAAAGTCAAAGTTTGTGGACGTAGTGGAGTGACTAGTTATCAAGTTGATGGTGGAGAGAAAAAAGAGTACAGAGTTTTGGGAGTTGCAGACAGAACCTTGGCAATGAAAGCCATACTCTATGACATGACAAAAGAGAACATGGTGGAGGAAGGAAACTCTGTAATTCTTATGAATTATATCTACAAGACGGAACCAGAATCAATAATATTAACAAAAAATTCCAAAGTCATGAAGACATCCAACATTGATGTTGGAGAAGAGCTGCTGGATAGGGGAAGATTCATTGCCAACCCTCCACCAGCAGAGACCATTACAATTAATAAAGTGAAGAGCAGTCCAGTGAAAACCCTGGTTTCCATTCAGGGTCGAGTTGTTTCGGTAAGTCACGTTTCATTTTACCAGAATATTGTTTTAAGGATATTGATATATACTTGAAAATGAATGATATGAAAAAATAAATTTTTCAAGTTATCAAAAACAATATCTTTTTTTTCAGGAAGAGATGACTAGAACTGTAAAAGTTAAAGGAAATGATGTCCAAGTAAAATCAGTCACCATTAAGGATGAAACTGACTCTGTGAAAGTTTCCTTATGGAGACACCTCTCAGATTCAGCTGGAGTTGGTAAATTTTTGAGCTTTACGGACCTAGTGGTTACGAGTTACAATGACGAAGTTTCTGTTTCAAGCACATCAAAGACAACCATTAAGGTATAATATAAATTATGATAGAGATAATAATTCTTTTTACTTGAAACAATGTATCTTTGTCTATTGAATCATACAATCTAATTTAGGTAACTGAATTATGCAACATTTTAAGAATAAGGCTTTTTGAAACTTGTTTTCTCATCTAGTTCTTTATGAATTTAAGTGATTAAGAAGCTCCTTCTATCTAAATTCTCTTATCACAACATTTAAATAGATTCAAAAATCATAATAAAAAGTTATAATCACAATTTGTTGTGTAAATATTTATACTCCTAGCACTTAATATAAAAAGAGGTGTTATAAAGAGCATTCTTTCATATTTTCTGTCTTTCTAATTAGGAAAAAGAACAACCAACAACAGTTGTGCGGGGATCCATCATTGCATTTGAACCAAATGACGTAAGTCTAGACCTGCTCGTGTCTGTTGGTGAAGATTTTCCGACATACACCGTTTCAGCCGAAATCCTAGTCAAATTATTTGGCTGTACCCTAGAGAATTTGACAGAAACATTACAATCAAAACTTCCTCTCCCTTGCATGATGCAAGTTAAAAACACAACAATTGAAGAAATCACACACTAAATTTGAGTAAAAACAATTGAAGACAAGGTGTTCATTAGCATAATGACATAAACTTTTTGTATCATGATATGGTAATTTATAATTGTATTTAAAGAAAAATTAACCAGTATTTCTTCAGATTGTTCAAGTATGTATTTTCCATTTGGCATTTTATTTCGTATGTCTTATTTTTGAGGTGAAAGTGTATTTTCTAGGGGTTTGAAATTATCTGGATTTTATTTTTTCATGTTCACTATCTCAAAGCTTCTGTGTCTTAACTCTGTTGTTGTGTGTAGAGGAATGATATAACAAACATCTGTATTGAGACCTCTGTATTGAGAAGATGTATTTTTCTGAAGCATTACAAGTGTGAAAAAAAGAAAACATGGTATATGTTTCTACTTATATAAATACATGTACAAGTAAAATTGTATGCTCTGTATTTCAAATCCAACTTCATAGAACACATGTGATTGATTGTATTTACATGTACATGCATTTTTTAAAATACAGATTTAGGTTTAAAAGGAACAATTTTGAAAGTCGCAGAGAATAAAATGTGGCAAGATTTTCATTTTTATTATAAGTTTGCTATGTTAGTGTAAATATTACTATCATAATTACACTAATCTAAACTTTGTGTATTTTTTAGCCAAAGGATATGCATGTATTTAGTATATTACTTCCTCTCCTTTAATGGATGATAAATTTTGTTGTTGTTAGATTAATTACATGGAATCAATAGTTGCATCTTATCGCATGTAGTCACTGTGTATAACTAATGATATGTTGTTTTAGACAATTGTTTGATTACTATTGCGCTATAAATGTATGACACAAAATATTTTGTAAGAAATAAGTCAATCAGGTACTGCATAAAGATATCATCTTTCTTTTTTTTGCCTTCATTGAATGTTTTGTAGAAAGTATATTTTAAAATTAAAATTTCATTAACTGTTAAGATTTAATATCTTTAGGTCACATTGCACTGGATGCACAAGATGTTCTCTTAATTTTTAGAGTAAATTTCAAGTTTTCAGAGATATTGTTTTAAGGTCATCACATCTGGTTTAAAAGATGAGTCTTTGCAATATGATTATCTTGAAACTTTTTTCTAAGGGTAGATAAATATTTGTTTATTTGAAAACTTTTTTCTCAGGGTTGCAAAATATTTGTTCTCAGGTTTACCATATTGTATTCAACAATTAATTTTTAAATTTGTATTTCTTGCAAATTTCTTTGTCAATATTTGTTTGTTTTTGTTTTAATTAAAGTATGATAAGTGATAATGAAGTACTTAAAAAAAAGTAAATGCAACATCTGAAGTTGCAGTAAATTACATATGGCAAGATTTTCAGGTTCTTCTTATTCAGTTTTGGTACAATAGTGTAAATATAACTTTCATGAGGACAGTGTCCCAAAATTAGCATAGATTTTTAGTCATAGTTTACTTGAGTAATTAGTATACTAGTTCCTATCCTGAAATTGATGATATGTATTGTTGTTGTTAGATTAATTACATTGGACTAAGAGTTACATCTTACTGGATGTAGTCAATATATGTAGTCATTGATGAAGGCAATTGTTTAATTGCTAAAAAAAATTGCTTAGGATTACCATATTGTGTTCGTCAATAAATTTTCATATTACTTGAAAATTTCTTTGTTAATTAATATTTGTTTTGTGCAAATTAATGTTAAGTGATTTTACATTTTTAAGAAAAAGCTTTTTGTAATTTTTTAAATGTCTTCATAATTGTACATTGCTGAAACATTGCTACGTGTATGAAATAAGACACCTGTTAAGGAGAAAAATTGAAAAAAAAAAATATAAGAAACTACTATGGGAAAATGTGCACTAGTAGTACTCATTATTACATGTTTGTTTTACTATCATTTTTAGCTCACCTGAGCCGAAGGCTCAAGTGAGCTTTTCTGATCACATTTTGTCCGTCGTCCGTCCGTCCGTCTGTCTGTCCGTCCGTCTGTCCGTCTGTCTGTCCGTCTGTAAACTTTTCACATTTTCGACTTCTTCTCAAGAACCACTGGGCCAATTTTAACCAAACTTGGTACAAAGCATCCTTTGGTAAAGGGAAATTTAAGTTGTTAAAATCAAGAGCCAAGTTCCCTTCCAAGGGGAGATAATCAAGAAAATCCAAAAATAGGGTGGGGTCATTAAAAAATCTTCTTCTCAAGAACCACTGGGCCAGAAAAGCTGAAACTTATGTGGAAGCATCTTGGGATAGTGTAGATTCTAAATTGTTCAAATCATGACCCCCGGGGGAAGGGCGGGGCCACAATGGGGAATCAAAGTTTAATATAGAAATATATAGGAAAAATCTTTGAAAATCTTCTTCTCAAGAACCACTGGACCAGAAAAGCTGAAACTTATATGGAAGCATCCTGGTATAGTGTAATATCTAAATTGTTCAAATCATGACCCCCGGGGGAAGGGCGGGGCCACAATGGGGAATCAAAGTTTTACATAGAAATATATAGGAAAAATCTTTGAAAATCTTCTTCTCAAGAACCACTGGGCCAGGAAAGCTGAAACTTATGTGGAAGCATCCTGGTATAATGTAGATTCTAAATTGTTCAAATAATGACCCCCGGGGGAAGGGTGGGGCCACAATGGGGAATCAAAGTTTTATATAGAAATATATAGGAAAAATCTTTGAAAATCTTCTTCTCAAGAACCACTGGGCCAGAAAAGCTGAAACTTATCTGGAAGCATCCTGGAATAGTGTAAATTCTAAATTGCTCAAATCATGACCCCCGGGAGAAGGGCGGGGCCACAATGGGGAATCAAAGTTTAATATAGAAATATATAGGAAAAATCTTTGAAAATCTTCTTCTCAAGAACCACTGGGCCAGAAAAGCTGAAATTTATGTGGAAGCATCCTGGTATAATGTAGATTCTAAATTGTTCAAATAATGACCCCCGGGGGAAGGGTGGGGCCACAATGGGGAATCAAAGTTTTACATAGAAATATATAGGAAAAATCTTTGAAAATCTTCTTCTCAAGAACCACTGGGCCAGAAAAGCTGAAACTTATATGGAAGCATCCTGGTATAGTGTAAATTCTAAATTGTTCAAATCATGACCCCCGGGGGAAGGGTGGGGCCACAATGGGGAATCAAAGTTTTACATAGAAATATATAGGAAAAATCTTTGAAAATCTTCTTCTCAAGAACCACTGGGCCAGAAAAGCTGAAACTTAAGTGGAAGCATCCTGGTATAATGTAGATTCTAAATTGTTCAAATAATGACCCCCGGGGGAAGGGTGGGGCCACAATAGGGAATCAAAGTTTTATATAGAAATATATAGGAAAAATCTTTGAAAATCTTCTTCTCAAGAACCACTGGGCCAGAAAAGCTGAAACTTATGTGGAAGCATCCTGGTATAGTGTAAATTCTAAATTGTTCAAATCATGACCCCCGGGGGAAGGGTGGGGCCACAATGGGGAATCAAAGTTTTATATAGAAATATGTAGGAAAAATCTTTGAAAATTTTCTTCTCAAGAACCACTGGGCCAGAAAAAGTGAAGCTTATGTGGAAGCATTCTGGGGTAGTATTAATTCTAAATTGTAGGAATCATGACCCCCGGGGTAAGGGCGGGGCCATTATAGGGAATCAAAGTTTTACATAGAAATATATAGGAAAAATCTTTGAAAATCTTCTTCTCAGGAACCACTGGGCCACAAAAGCTGAAACATATGTGCCCATGGAAGGATCATGGGGTAGTGTAGATTTCAAAATGTCTAAATTATGATCAGTGGGGTAGGGTGGGGATGCATTATGTATAACAAGGGTGAAATCTGGTAAGAACAGAATGGTCAAAGCTTCTAAGGTGAGCGATGTGGCCCATGGGCCTCTTGTTTACTAGATAATTGCTTTTTACATTAGAACAGTAAAGACTTTAAAATATGAGCTGATTCTTTCATTAAGTTTATATGTTCCAAATTTAACATTTAGTTGTAATTAGCAATTCAGATAGCATTATTTTTCTTGTTATTTCATGTACTACTGTTTTTAGCTCACCTGAGCCGAAGGCTCAAGTGAGCTTTTCTGATCACATTTTGTCCGTCGTCCGTCCGTCCGTCTGTCTGTCCGTCCGTCTGTCCGTCTGTCCGTCTGTCTGTCCGTCTGTAAACTTTTCACATTTTCGACTTCTTCTCAAGAACCACTGGGCCAATTTTGACCAAACTTAGTACAAAGCATCCTTGGGTAAAGGGGAATTTAAATTGTTAAAATGAAGGGACATATCCCCTCGCAAGGGGAGATAATCAAGAAAAGACAAAAATAGGGTGGGGTCATTAAAAAATCTTCTTCTCAAGAACCACTGGGCCAGTAAAGCTGAAACTTATGTGGAAGCATCCTGGGGTAGTGTAGATTCTAAATTGTTCAAATCATGACCCCCGGGGGAAGGGCGGGGCCACAATGGGGAATCAAAGTTTTACATAGAAATATATAGGAAAAATCTTTGAAAATCTTCTTCTCAAGAACCACTGGGCCAGAAAAGCTGAAACTTATGTGGAAGCATCCTGGTATAATGTAGATTCTAAATTGTTCAAATAATGACCCCCGGGGGATGGGTGGGGCCACAATGGGGAATCAAAGTTTTATATAGAAATATATAGGAAAAACCTTTGAAAATCTTCTTCTCAAGAACCACTGGGCCAGAAGCTGAAACATATATGGAAGCATCCTGGTATAGTGTAGATTCTAAATTGTTCAAATCATGACCCCCGGGGGAATGGCGGGGCCACAATGGGGAATCAAAGTTTTACATAGAAATATATTGGAAAAATCTTTGAAAATCTTCTTCTCAAGAACCACTGGGCCAGAAAAGCTGAAACTTATGTGGAAGCATCCTGGTATAATGTAGATTCTAAATTGTTCAAATAATGACCCCCGGGGGATGGGTGGGGCCACAATGGGGAATCAAAGTTTTATATAGAAATATCTAGGAAAAATCTTCGAAAATCTTCTTCTCAAGAACCACTGGGCCAGAAAATCTGAAACTTATGTGGAAGCATCCTGGTATAGTGTAGATTCTAAATTGTTCAAATAATGACCCTCGGGGGAAGGGCGGGGCCACAATGGGGAATCAAAGTTTTATATAGAAATATATAGGAAAAATCTTTGAAAATTTTCTTCTCAAGAACCACTGGGCCAGAAAAAGTGAAGCTTATGTGGAAGCATTCTGGGGTAGTGTAAATTCTAAATTGTAGGAATCATGACCCCCGGGGGAAGGGCGGGGCCATTATAGGGAATCAAAGTTTTACATAGAAATATATAGGAAAAATCTTTGAAAATCTTTTTCTCAGGAACCACTGGGCCAAAAAAGCTGAAACATATGTGCCCATGGAAGGATCATGGGGTAGTGTAGATTTCAAAATGTCTAAATTATGATCAGTGGGGTAGGGTGGGGATGCATTATGTATAACAAGGGTGAAATCTGGTAAAGAACAGAATGGTCAAAGCTTCTCAGGTGAGCGATGTGGCCCATGGGCCTCTTGTTTAATTGCATGTTTTATGTCTATTTTAGCTGTTGATTTGTGAGCATGTATTCACATTTATAGAGAGTAGTTAGTACTTGATTTTTTTAATAAGTATCTTGCATTAAAGTGTTTGTATAAATTAATTCCATACTTGATAATTACTGCTGTAGATTAAAGTGTTACATTCAATTACCGGTACTATGTACAAAAGTTAACCATTTTTGTTTTTGTGGCTTAACTTTTCTAATATGAAATATTATTGATTTTACAACAGGTGTGCCATTATTTTCATGCTTTAAATTTCTAGTCAATTTTGTATATTCTACTTCTTTTAAAAGATGGCAACTGTCCAAAACTGTGCTATTTGACCCTTACATTGTTGGTGCTCTTCAATATTTTTGATAAATAAACCACTTCAATGCAAACTGAATCGTTATTCTTTTATATTTAAGCAATTTACTCAAAGTACGACAATTTAATTATCTGTTTCTCATATATTAAGGTTTGTTTTATGATTCATTATATTAGATGCAAAAAATTACACGTCAAAGTAGTACATGAGAGAAAAGGTAAAGTTAAGGCTTATTTCTCAAACGATTTCTTAAAAAAGAGATATTGTTTTAAAACTTGCAAAAGCATTACAATATTGCATGGTCATATTTTATGTATGTCACATAACCCAATTTGATATCAGTACCATCAACTCGTAACAGTACTTTCAGTACTTTGATTCTTGGTTAATTTTAGCACTTTTTATAGGATATATAGTAAAAGATTTTAATGATTTTAAAAAATTCTCGAATAATGTGTATCTGTCTTTTCAAAACAATCTATTAACTTGTTTGTGAACAGATCATAATAAGTTTTTTTTAATTCTTTCCTCAGTGACTGCGTCGACTTCAATATTGTCTTCAGCAATTCGAGATCTGAGGGCGGATCTAGAGGCGTGCGAAGACAAACTTGAAGACTTAGAAGATTGCGAAACCAAGCTGCGAAAGGCAAGAGAAGAAGAGGAGGAATGTAGAAAGGGACAAAGAGAATGTGAAGAGGCGTATTCTAAGGCAAAGAACGATCTAAGTAAAGCAAAGGACGACCGAGCGGGTTGTGATACTGAGTTTGGTGGAAATTTTAAGGGTGAGATACATATATTGTTAGGGTGAGATTCATATATGTTAGGTTGAGATACATACATTTAATGTGAGATACATACATTTAAGGGTGAGCTATATACATTATAAGTAAAGATACATACATTTTTAGGGTGCGATAACTACATTTTAGGGTGAGATACATTTTTCGGGTGAGATACATACTTTTTAGGGTGAGATACATAAATTTTAAGGGTGGGATACATATATTTTAAGATGAGATACATTTTAGGGTAAGATATATACATTTACAATTTTAGGTGGACATAATTTGGGGGGGGGGGGTGAGATACATGTATATACATTTTAAGGGTGAGATACATAAATTTTAGGGTGATATATATCCATTTTAGTGTAAGATACGTTTTTGGGTGAGATACATACTTTTTAGCGTGAGATATTTACGTTTCTAGGGTGAAATACATTTTAAGGGTGAGATATAAACATTTCCAATTTAAGGTGGACAGAATTTTTAGGGTGATATATAAACTTTTTAAGGATGAGATACATACATTTTAGGGTGAGATACATACATTTTTGGGGGTTTAGATAAATGCGTTTTATGGGTGATCTACATGAAACTTAGGGGTGAGATACATACTGTGTGATATTTTAAAGAATTTTAAAAAATCTTAAGGAAAAATATTTTGGAAATGTAAATACGTATAAACTCGTGCCAAAAAATAGTTGACAGTTTAAGATATGTCCAAAAAATTAAGTTAAATCTGGTGGTCAATTTTGTTGACCCCCTTGCCTCCTTAAGGAGATTCGATCCTGAGCTTTTAAGCAGATTTTGACTAAGTTCTGCATCATATTTAAGTTCTTTTATTGAATTTTGATCTACAATGCATAATAAACTACATTCAATTAAAACCCTACGATAATTTCCATACCAAAAAAAAAAAAAAGAGAAACTATTTTTTTTTTCGAAGTATTAACAGTTCTGTTAAGTTTGGATACCTATTCATCCGTGCAGGCTACACAGAGATCTAAATTGTTTTATTTAACTTTTATAAATTCTGTCACCATATTTTGTAACAAATATATCAAACATAAATAAAGTCCTTTTAAATATTTTGAGTTACCTCGTAAGTTCCCACTTTTAATTTTCTTTTCTGAATATATGATAACTTTGATCATTTTGCTAAAAGTCAGCAATAATGTAAGATTTTAAAATATATTTTTCTTCTTAAATTTTCAATGTCATAAAATATTTTAAAGTGCATAATGGTTAAATAATTGATATTTTGAAGTTATTTGAAACCTTTTTATTTATCCCGATTTTAAAGATTAAGAGTATATTTGATCCCATATTTTTTTTGGATAAAAAAAAATATTTGAAGGAAAAACTTCGAGAAATCGATGTATGTTTTAGACACTAGTTCACTGCAAAAAAGGTCATATATAATCAAGCATGGCGCCAGATCCATATGGAAACCAGTGCGCCCCATTATTAGCAGACCTTTTTGTATTCACATGAGGAAGAATTTGTCCAAAATCTTATACATGAAAAAAAGATAACACTTGCTGTGGCCTTCACCTCGACATTAAGATATATCGACGTATTGTCAATTAACAATGGTTATTTCTGTTCTTATGTCAATATGATATATCCCGATGAGATGAAGGATATTCCACAGAGTCTGAGACATCTGTTTCATATTTGGATATTTTACTTGAAGAAGACGTTAATGGTAATCTAACAACCAACCTCTATGTTAAACGTGATGACTTTTACTTTACAATCGTCAGCTTCCCTTACTTATGCAGCAAGATGCCTTCATCACCTTCAATACGAGTCTATATACCCAGTATCTCAGTTGATTCGATACGCATGAGCATGCTCTACGTATGAACAATTTCTAAAACGAGGTGAATTATTGAAAAACAAGTGGTCTCGTTTAAAGTCATCATTTTGTAAGTTCTATGATCGATACTATGACCTTGTAAGCAAATACAAATTATCATTCACTCAAATGCTTACTGTCGTTTTTCATACTAATTGTTAGTCCATTATTTATGTACACTGAATTGACGACAGATTTTTCCGTTATTTCCTGATCATGACAAGGAGCACACGGTGGGTGTGACCGGTCGGCAGGGGATGCTCACTCCTCCATGGCACCTGATCCAACCTCTGATGTTTTGGAGGTCCGTGTTTGCTCTGCTCCTATTTTGTATTGTTTTATAGAATTTTGAGCTTGAATACTGTTCGTTATCCCC